TGCCCTCTACGTTCGTCTTCTCCGGCTCAATGTCCAGTGACTCTTGATCACTATGAGTGCGAGTATGCGCAGCCCCCACCCGCATATTTAACCCCCACTTACGACGGGGCCTTACTCCTACTCCGAGCTCCCAAGTAAAGAGTAAGACCCTTATCCCCTCCCCGAGTAAGGCACCTGTCGGTACCCGGCTCGTCAGTTAAGTTATAGCGGGTCCGGAATACGCCGCGACTTTACACCGCGGAAGGTTCTTATCTCTCTTGTATCGCTAATATTTATTTAGTATTAATATTGTGGCTCATTTATTAATTTTGGGACTTACGTGACAAGTGAGTGACTTGATATATTTATTATTATTTTTAGTGACAGAGTGAGTGCAGTGAGTTTGATACTTAAAACAAAACTACGGCGATTATTGCATAATATTTTATTGAGCCGGAGGTTTTTGGACTGGCCGGGATGCGGCTCTCGGAGCTCCCGAGCTATAGTGGGTAACACGTGGCCAGGCGATTTCACACACTCCTGATTAATTAGGTAACATTTATTTTGTTAATATCATTGTCAATAAAACCACGTGGATTTTGATTATTTTCTAAACAATGCTAATTAAAACATTAATTATTATCAATACAATTAATTTCAAAGAGTCAATAGGTGGATTTTTGAATTCTACGGGAAATTTCCGAAAAAATGAGTACCCACACGACCAAATTGGTCATAGTGACCACATGTGGTCACATGACGTTATATCTGATCATATGACGTCATATGTGACCTATTTGATGATCACATACGTCACATATGATCACATATGGTGACCTAAGAGTGAATATAGGCTTGTGGGTACTCATTTTAAAGCTCTTGGAGCCCTATATCACGTGTGACTAATATTTAGAAAATATTTCGTGAATGTTAAGCATGACTCAGCGATTAATTATCGTGATAATGTCATTTTTACGGAAAAAAAAATTACTTAGCGATGAATTATTTGTGTAAAAGATAACGGATTTTTTTAGCGAGTATATATGTCACCGTTTTCACAGTTAATGAAATATTCACTAGGCACAGATAAAATAGTGATAAAAAACTAAACGATTCTTAATGTAAATACTAACACTAATACTAATGCAAACAGTCACACCCGTTTAATATAACTGTTATTTTTTTTTCGGGATATTGTAGTTTTATTTCTTTATTTTTGGAATAACCGGTGGTTAGGTATTTAAGGTTTTAATTTTGAATGAAATATTTACTTTGCAATAAAATTTAAAAAAATAATTATTGTTATTTTTTTTTTCTTTTGAAGAAATAAAATTTTACGGATTACAGTTAGAGGCAATAACCATAAATTAAAGATCACGTAATTTGACAATAGTGTTAGAATGAAAGAAGGAAGATAAGATATATAAAATATATGAAAGGAACTAAGTGGAAATCCAAATAAATCTAAGAAAGGTAGAGCTTGTGAGTATTATATCATGAATGGAAGGTTATCCTCTACTCCGGTAGTTCTATTGCTCCCCTAGAACCTGGCTACCTACAGGTAACAGACTAACGAGTCACGGTCTAGGCGTAATTACCAGTGGACACCCGTTAAAGGCCAAACCTTATTCTTATTCTTATTTTTATTGTTTGTAATTATTGTTTCCGGCTAGTTGCTAATTCGATACACTAAGATGGATATAAAAATTTTTTTAGATAGATATTTTGATTTTTTTATTTAATTTATTAAATTTAGTTGGTTTTAAATTATGGGAGAGATGTAATTAGTGGAAATTATTAATTAAACTAATTTAATAATTATTAATAGGTTTATCGCTTTTAATTATGCCTTGTTCATAATTATTATTATTATCATTATTGATAATTGATTTTAAGTTTCAAATTATTCTCATTAATGATAATGATGATTTCTAATAATAATGAAATTTCAAAATTTTTAGTCATTATTATTATTATTATTATTTTTATTGTTATTATTTCTTCATTACTAAAAACTTGAAATTTAATAATAATAATATATTTAATAATTATTACATTGATAAATAATTAATAACATATGTATATAAAATAAATATATAATTTATTATATATAATAATTAATGAAATATCCTGTAAATATTTGCTTATTAAATTAAATCCGTCCTCCAACATATGTATTGATGTAAAGTATATTTATTATATACGATTTGAATAAATTTAAATAAATTAGAACTATTTAATCATTCACTATAAAAACATACAACTTGTCATCTCTGATTACTCTATATTAATAATTATTAATAAAATTATTATTATAATAATCAATTTACCTATCAATTGAATTAGTTTCCATGATTTTTTGTCAATTTGACTATATATGTGTACATATATACTGATATATATTTTTTTCTAATAAATATTAGACTATACAGCGAACAAAAAAGTAAAATAGTTAATATATAGACTGAACGTGCAGAGATAATTAAGAGTAAGCATCCAGCGTTACAATTTAATTCCTTCGGGTTTTTTTATTTCATTTACTATTTAATCCATCTATTCTCATTCTATTTTATTTCTCAGAACTTTTATTTTATTAATTTTTCCAGTGGATTATTTTTCAATGGAAGTTTCTTTTCAATTAAACAGAATATTCAATTACATTTTTTCAATTTTTTTTTTATAAACCTAAATAGTTTTCACATTCACAAAAATATCTTGAAAAGAATAAGATAACATGAAAGAGGGCTTTAAGAGCTTTAAAATGACTCCCCACATGCCTATAGTTGCTCATAGGTGGCCATATGTGATCATATATGGCCTATATGGTCATAAAATAGGTCACATATAACGTCATATGACCAGATATGACCAATATGGTCACATATGACCAATAGGGTCATGTGGGTACTCATTTTTTCGGAAATTTTCCGCAGAATTCATAAATATGCATTTTAACTTTGTCAGAATGACTATAGGGGGCATTAATTCGGCTTGTAAGTTCTACAATCTTGAAAATATCTTGGAAAGAGTCAAGTTAGATAAAAGAGGGCCTCGAGAGCTTTAAAATGACTACCCACACGCCTATAGTTGCTCATAGGTGACCTATGTGACCATATATGACCTATGTGGTCATAAAGAAGGTCACATATGACGTTATATGACCAGATATGACCAATATGGTCACATATGACCAATATGGTCTCGTGGGTACTCATTTTTTCGGAAATTTTCCGTAGATTTCGAAAATATACCTCCTGGGTTTGTCATTCTAGTTGTTTAAGAGAAATTTCACTTTTTTATCGGCAAAAACTCTCTATAAAACATTAATACACATACCTGGCACATTTACAAGTTATTAATGCTTGTAACCGATTCTTGTATGCGTGTGATGTTATCTAGAATGGAACGCGATAGAATTTTGCAGAATTACGAGTGTGTGAGTGAATTTAAGGATGTTCGACATATTAAATATGACCCAGAGCCCGGACTGGAAGAAGAGCTGAGATGGATGATGAGAACCAAGTTAAGAATTAACGAAAAGTGCCGTGAGATAACGCCGAAGCTAAGGCATCTCATCCGTATTTTAATTTATATTTTATTCTTTAGTACTTCCGGTAACCACATACTTTAATACTATGATGTCTGACCTCTACTCTGGTTATTTATAATTATTCTATTATTATTTTAATTATTGTTACTCGGGACAATTAAATTTTTTTTCAAACATTTTTAACATTCTTTTTATTATTTTATATAATTATTTTCTATTATTAAAAATTATTTGAAATTTATCGGAAGAATTTATAAAAATCACAAATATGTTGTGAATAATTATAAGCAAATATTATTAATCTAACACGTGTAATAGATTACTTAATCGATTTAAAATAAAATATAAAATAAGTGGATAAAGCTTAGAGTGTAATTTATTAACTGATAAAAGCCATAAATAACCAGTTTGAAACTAAAGGCAGTAAATAATAATAAAGACATTAAGTATGTACAATTAGTAGTAAGCATCAAGCCTAACATTATAACCAACAGCATGTATTAATGTCACAGTGTCATCTTCATCTAGCGTGTACAGGCAATAACTAATTAGCATGGCTAACAGATACTTATAAAGTCTTGTCCGACGCCTCCAATCATCGCAGCCCTTGTATTAACGTCTGCCTTCTATTAGTTGATACCTAGCAATTACCGCTAATTTACTCCACCGGCTTTATATACGCACACTTCTCAACAACCGGACGGCTCTTTAACGCCTAATGATTATGTATCGAGACAACTTTATTTTCAATTGTAAAGAACCTTTGTTTTGCTTGCAACTTTTACAATTTTAAGAATAACCAAAAAAAAAATTGGATCACATTAAAGAGAACTTCAAGAGCTTTAAAATGAGTACCCACATGCCTATGTTTGCTCTATGTGGTCATATGTGACCCATGTGGTCATTAATTGGGTCACATATGATCATATACATCACATATGACCAATATGGTCGACTAGATACTCATTTTTTAGGAAATTTTCAGTAGATTACAGAAATATACCTTCTGATCATATGATCAGTAGCGGAAGACCTTTATTTAGCTTGTAAGTTCTGCAAGGTTCAAAATATCTTTAAAAAGGTTAGCTTACATAAAAGAGGGCTTCAAGAGCTTTAAAATGACTACCCACAAGCCTATGTTTGCTCGTATGTGACCATATGTGACGTATGTGATCATAAAATAGGTCACATATGACGTCATATGACCAGATTGATCACATATGACGACATAGGTGACCTAATTGGTCACATATGACCAATATGGTCGTGTGGGTACTCGTTTTTTCGGAAATTTCCCGTAGATTAAGAATATATACCTCTTAAGCTTGTAAAAATGATACATGAAAAGTTATAGCGAGTTTTAAGCTAGAGTAGGTGCATTAATTATTACGAAGGTATCGTAAATGTGTTATAACGTTAGAATAGCGATAAAGACTTGAATGGAGTTTTTTGTTACGCTTCAATAATTAACACGGTTTTAAAAGATAACAATTACGACATAGCATTGTGAGTAATTATTATCATTAAATATCTAATTGCGCATTCTTTGATAAAAATATCCTTGTTATTTTTTTTTTAGATTCACGCATTTACGCGTGAGAGGCTGTCGGACCATCAGAATGCGAGGGGTGTGGAAGTTGCTACTCATAATCATCTACACGGTAATTTTATTAATTATTAATAAATAATCTTATTTGTTAAAATTGAAAAACAGAAGACTAGTCTGTCGGTAGACAATGAATCAACATATTAGTGAGATTACTGGAATACAACATCTTGCAAGCGGATATATAATATTGAAGCCTACTCTAAGTACCGTTATCCGGTATATCATTAAACCATTACATCGTCTGCATAGATATATATCTTCTTTCACCTACTTATATACTTAAACTCATCCCGGTTATTATTTTATTCATTTTATTTATTTTATTGCAAACCTGTGTCTTCTTTGATTACTCATTTATACAAATCGATATTTATTATTGTTATTAATATTAATAGCTATATTATTGACATTATGTGTATCATTATTTTAATGCCTCAATTATCCAACGCTAATAACCCGAAAGACTATTTATTATCGTTAATGACAATACTTATATATATTACATTTTTTTTATTTATTTAATGATAGTATTTATGGAAATACTAATGATTATTTTCATTATTAGACACCGATATTTACAAATTTGCAAAAAAAAAATTAGTTCTAAAATTCGCCGCTAGGCGGATAAGTGGCGCTGTTCCTTCTCGCTTGTAAAAAGGTATTTCTAAGGTATTTAAATAAAAGTTTAATTTTTTCAATAAAATGTCATTATTATATACATTTAAAGAGTTTTTTTGCATATTTTTAAAATATGTGACTTAAAATATATTAAAAAAAAACAATTGTTTACTCATTATAATGTACTTATCTCGACATTAATCGTATTTTCTATAATAAGACACTTCACTTTAATATTTAAGCCTAAAAAAATGTTAGTTCCAAAAGTCACCGCTAGGTGGCCAAGTAGCGCTGATATTTCTCGCATGTAGTATAAAATTTCTAAGATTTTGAAGGAAATATCATACTTTTTCGATAGGTTCTGATACTTTACAATATTTTCCGTCTGAAATTTATCTAAAATTAATTTATAGTCCTCATTAAACGACTCTAATCAACATAAATATCAAAACCAACAATTGAACGGTGATTAAAGCGTACCATAAACGTCAAAGAGATAAACGATAATATGATTGTCATTGCCGATAAATAAATGGTAATTGCTTAATGATATAATGATAATAACATAAATTAACATCTAAATCCTTTAATCTCAATTTTCTTTCAGTTATGATTATTATTTTAATTATTATTATGATTGGCTGGATGCTCACATAAACTCTGAAGAAGCAAACTCTTAGAAACTTGTTTTCACTTGTGTGAAAAACGCCGACCGTTAATGCAGCGGTAAAGACGCCTCTCCCGTTACAGGATTGCACACGCTGTCCAGACCATCCACCGTCCAGTCAAACGAATAGAGAAATACAAATAAACAACCAAACAGCCACCGATTTATCAATTTAACATAACAATTTGTCAATTGTTAGAAATTATTAATCTTTTGCATTTTTTACCTTCAAATAAAAAAATTATTTGAATGCCCTATAGAGGAAAAAACACTATAAATAATAAAATAATTTAAAATTTAAAATTAATTATTAAGGCTATCCATTAAAAATTTTCTAAATTAATAATTAAAGATGGTTGGCGCAAAAATATCGAGTGGTAACGGTGATATCTGGCCACTGGAACGTCCAGAAGGAATGCCATCGATCCAATCCCTTGAGGTTATGTGTGGAAAAGACCACATGGACGTCCACCTCTCTTTTTCTCAGCCATTCGACGGAATAGTATCGTCAAAAGGACAACACGCGGATCCAAGATGTGTCTACGTGCCGCCATCTACAAGTCAGACATTTTTTTCCTTCCGAATAGCCTACGCCAGGTCAGTATTGACAATTATAATATATATTACCTGTCTACAATATCAATCATTAATAATATTAACTAATAGACTAACTAAAAACTACCTGTTTTTTTTTTAGATGCGGGACCAAGCCTGACATGCATGGCCAATTCTACGAAAATACAGTAGTCGTTCAGTATGACAAGGACCTGTTGGAGGTCTGGGACGAGGCCAAAAGACTGAGATGTGAGTGGTTCAATGACTACGAAAAAACCGCCTCGAAACCTCCGATGGTTATCGCGGACTTGGATGTCATTCAACTGGACTTTAGAGGTAAAAAGCTTAATTTACTCCTACCCTGTTGCTCTGACGAGGTTTAAGATGTGTGGAGGTTGTAGAGCTTGAAATTCTGAAAAAAATGACTACCCACAAGCCTATATTTGGTCATATGTGACCATATGACCAGATTGGTCACATATGACGTCATATGTGACCTGATTAGGTCATATATGACGTCATAGGTGACCTAATTAGGTCACACATGACCAATCAGGTCGTGTGGATACTCCTATTTTCGGAAATTTTCTGGAGATTTCAAAAAACCACATTGTAAATTCGTAAAAAAATTAAGAAGCTTCATATGACCTTATTAGGTTACATATGACGTCATAGGTGACCTAATTAGGTCACATACGACCAACCAGATCGTGCGGGTACTTATTTTTTCGGAAATTTCCCGTAGATTACAAAAAACCACATTGTGAATTCATAAAAAAATTAGGAAGCGAGTTATTTGAGGTTTAGAGCTAAAAAGTCATGAAAAATGAAGTTTTAAGAGGATAATTTGTTATGAGACCACTTGTGGCAATTAATCATACTAAATGAGATCTTAATGATGTTGAAGTGACGTCTTTGGGATAAATAAAATACATGAATAAAATTACCGGTCGAATACAGAAGGGGAATTACAGTAATAATAAAGGATTGAGCCGGAGAACTCGTGCCGTGGTAAACCACAAACACATCTTAAGACGGTTGGCAATTTCTCATGTCTTTTAGAGATTTAATACAATATACGATATACGATATACCTGTTACTGACTTCGAGGCATTATCTTTATCTTTATGACGGCAGATACGGCAAATGCCATTTAATCTTTATTTCATACATCTGTTATATCATATAGGAGACAATGTCGACTGCTGGATGGAGATACAGCATGGAAAGGGACCATGGGCGCCACCGGTATCTGGAATTGTACCTCTGGGCTCTACTTTAACGTTGGTTGTCGCGATTAATGATTACAGAGGTAAGTTTAGATTCTTGGGATAAATATTTGGAGTTGTAAAAAAATTATAATTTGATTTTTTTAGGAGAATTTGACATGAGAGTTAAATCCTGCGTGGCATCTGACGGAGGAGGACATACAATCCAACTTAGTGATGAGCTTGGATGCGTCCTGAGACCAAAGATGATAAGCAGGTTCCTTAAGGCCCGGGGCGCTGACGATCGCGCGACTGTTATAACCTACGCATTTTTCCACGCATTCAAGTTTCCAGACGCGCTTAGTGTTCACATTAAATGCAAGGTACAATAACAATAAACTTGAATTTAAAGTTAAAATGTAACTTGTTTTTGTGAATAAATATTATTATGGCCAAGGCCATTGTATGATAATTCCCAAAATTACCATTGGTTCTTTTTCGAAGGTTGAAATATGCAGACACGGGTGCTTGGACCACTGTCAACTGACTGGTGCAGCCGGGCATTACATTCAAGACCGCAAGGACCACCCGGTCCGGAACTTGTATCCTCAAACCACCCAGACCACAATCACGCATGAGGACGACACTTCTCTCTATGATGATATTATACAAAATGGCGACGAAATGGCCTCTATAGGCGGTCAGTTTCTTGGGGTCGAAAAGTCTGCCCCCAAAGCTCAAGCACAAATTGGCAATCGCAATACTCCTCAGGTTCAAGAGGAATCGGAGGAACATAACCAAGAGACTCCAGATTTGGCTCACTCTTTTCTGGTAATAAATTGGATTTTTTGTATGAAGAATTGGAGTTGGGAGGTTAAGGTGGTTTTTTTTGGAATCTACGGAAAATTTCTGAAAAAATGAGTACCCACATGATGAAATTGGTTTATAGCAACAACAAAAACTACAAAAACTACAACAACTACAACAACTACAACAACAACAATTACAACATAAACAATAACAAAAACTACAACATAAACAATAACAAAAAAACTATAACGTAAACAATAACAAAAACTACAACAACAATAACAACAACTACCACAACAACTACAACATAAGCAACAGCATTAACAACAACTACATCATATACTAAATGAACAACCATTAAAACAACAACAACATAAACATGATCAAAAACAATAATATTAACTACAAAATGAACTACACCATAAACAATATTATCAATAACAACAAAAACAACAACATAAACATCGAAATAAGCAACTACAACTAAAGAATAGGCATAAATTAAAAATTCAACAAAAATAACAACGCAATAACAGATACAACATCAACAATAACATGACAGAAACAACAACAACAACAACAACAACAACAACAAAAACTACAATAATAACAACAAAAACTACAACAACATCAAAAACTGCAACAACATAAACTTCGACATAAGCAACTACGACTACAGAAAAAGCAGAAATTAAAGCTACAACAAAAATAACAATGCAACAACAAATACAACATAAACAATAATATGACAAAAACAACAACAAAAACTACAACACCAACAACAACATAAACATCGACATTAGCAACTACAACTACAAAATAGGCATAAATTAAAGCTACAACAAAATTAACAATACAAAAACAGATACAACGTAAACAATGACGTGACAGAAACAACAACAAAAACTACAACAACAACAACAACAACAACAACAACAAATTGTTAAAAATAGGCTTGTGGGTACTCATTTTAAAGGTCTTATCACACTGATCATAATAGAATACATATCACCAAATAATTTTGATAATTAAAACGAAAAATACTAATAAATCTAAACTTTCAGGACCCACCAAGAGTAACCAGGTACGAAGGAGAAGAGCAATTCCCCCACGGGCCCCGGAACCTGGAAGAAGACTCAAAAATCACCCCGATAATGAGCAACGGAAGTCGTCGCCGCAGATCAGTGAAAGTTCTGGACCGCAAGGCGCGATCCGCGGACGTAGGAGTCAGCGGAATTTACGAGGTGATTTCTGAGGCTGACTTGGCATTCAGTCCGGACGCCCACGCGGAAGCGGTGACGGTTTTCCAAGGACGAATTCGCGAGGAAGTGGTCTACGGGATTTGCTTACCGATGCCCGGATTCAGCGCCCTCTTCGTAATTGTGGCACTCTCCGCGGTTGTGTCCGCGCTGGTGGCCGGCGCAATGCTACACCGACTGCAAGTTCAACGGGAGGTCGTCGGCAGCCCCAAAAACAGGGTCGCGGTCGCGGTCAATGCCAACGGGTGGCTCCCCTACGGACTGCTCAGGGTCAGGGGCAACGAAAGGGCCCAAGAGGACCGCCACAAGCAGGAGGACACGGGTAATCCCATCGAGCAGGGCTAGGTTACTCTTCGTTCTATTCGATAAAGTTGTTTTAATCAAAACTTACTTTTTATAATCAAAATATTTAGTGTAAAAATTTAATCAAAAAGCACAACATTATTTTTATTAATTAATTATTTAGTAGATAGAATTTTAATTAATCGGTTTTTATTATATCGGTAGGTAAATTTATTTTATTTAGGTGAATTTTATTTTATTTTGCCGTAAGAGACAATGTGCAATATAATGCACTGAAAATATTATTAATAGCGGTTTTAAGTTATAGATTGGTAAAAAATCGTCATCCAGGATAATCACATCAAAGTTTTATATTATTCTCATCAATAGTTAATTTATTATGATAAGTATTTAGACTGCATTTGAAAATACTCTATTTCTAGATACATAATTAAGAAATGACCTTGTATCTTGTTAACTATTGACATTTTTAAAGATATAAGCTCACTCCGAGATAATACGCATCGAGAGCTTTCATTTGAGTACCCACATGCATTTTTCATATATACATATATATAATATATATATGAAAAATATATAAAAAATGCATGTGGGTACTCAAATGGAAGCTCTTAATGAGTCTAACATCAGGATGAGCTTATATCTTTAAAAATATCAATAATTAAGAAAATATAGTACACTTTCACAAAAATCATTATAAAGATAATAAAAACCGCTACCGATAATATTTATCCGTGTGCTGTACAAAGTACCGTAAACTAGGTCCTAAAGGATGCACATCCCCAAAATCGAAAAAAAAATAATATTGTAAAGTGCAATTATGTTCAACTTAAAATATTTATAATAATATTATTATTAATTAAAAATTTACTGGTGCTTAATCAAACTTATATAATAAAAAAAAAACTATTAATAATATAATATAACATTACCAAAATAATTAATATATATAAGTGTGTCTTTTTAATATTTTATTTTTATTATTATACACAATACAATAAATAATATTGCCAATAAAAAAAGTACATTTGTTTAAAATTAATTATTATATTTTATTATCTTGTACAGTGACAGGATTTTCTTGTTAATATTAGTTTGATTATTAAATAATATAAATAAATAAATAATAAGATAAATAATAACGGACGGTAAGTAAAAAAATAATGGCCCAATTTGGGTCTTAACGATTCTTAAAAAAGGACCGAAAAAAAAATTTCCCACGGAAAAATGGGTCTTAAATTATTATGATATAGAGCCGGGCGTTCTCATGCCTTTTTTCTCCTCTTCCGTTCTTAAAATTTTTTTCTCAACCTTCTCTCTCTCTCTTTCTCTGTTATTCTCATTCATGTCCGAGTAACGGACTCATCGCCGACAGGCTTGAAACGATTTATCTGCTCATACCGCAATTTGTATGCTAATTACGCAAATTAGATGTACTTGTGTTGTTATACAACTCTCGCACACTAACGCGTCTCTACTTTATTGATAATAAATTTCATATCAATGTTAATATTTATATATATATATATATATATATATATATATATATATAATTATTTTTCTTTAAATAACTTACACATGTACTGATAAAATTAATTCGCAATAACATAAACCTTTTAGTTACTGAGGTGTTAATTTAAATCTGGCACAATAAATATTTTTTATTCAAGTCTTCTGAGTTTATTTTATATAAATCGTTATTGACAAGATTTGTTATATTTATTTAAGTATCCTTCACTGGCGACTTGTCATTTAAACAGAAAGTTAAAAAAAAAAAAAAAAAAATACTCCAATCAAGATTCGAACCCCGAATTTCTGGGCGTAAGTTAAGAGACTTTCTCTTGAGGCTACAAGAAAAAATCGTGCTAAAAGCTACGAGATTTTTTCGGGTCGCAATCGACTGGTGCATCAATAGTGACCTCAAAAACCTCCAAAAAGTCAAAGTGGTCAAAGTTGGACACCCAAATTTATTAAACTTTCCATTTAAACCACAAAAATTTTGATTTAAATCACCTTAAAAACTAAATAAATAAAAAATAATCCGATAAATAAAACTTTTGTTGGCTCACTGACCCCCTGAGCGCATCTCCCTTTACTTTCACAAGATCAGCCTGAGGGTCAGGTGGTAATCCTCTTGAGGTCACGCTCTTTATACGGGATAAAATATACACAAGTACACATCAAGCATTCCAGATCCACTCTTACATTACACACACTTACATTAAATCGTGCCTCCACCGGGTATTGGATAGCCTCGAGTGCACCACGTACGTCACGACATTCAACGAGCCGTGTAAGAATGAGGTAGGACGAACGTTTACCACACATTAAATTTATAAGTATAAATATTGCAACTGCATGAGTATCCCCAATTTATTTACAAACGTGATCCAACCTTTTCCTAAGAGTAAAAGCAGGTCTTGGGCTTCTTGGTGACGTACGCGACGATGCACTTTTTCTTGGTGGTGGGTCTCAACCTGATCCACAAGTAAGCCGACAGGATGCAGGAGAACAGCATGATCGCCAGGAGGATTATCAGCGTGAACGCAAACTTGGGGGTGGTCATGCAGATAAGAGTCGAGCCGGCCTGAACTGGAACCACAACAGTGTCTTCTTCAGGTTTCTCATCGATAGCAAAGGTCAGGTCTCCAGTGGACACCACCCTGATGATCCTGTTGACCCCAACGGTGGTCAGCGACACCTCCCTGGACTTTCTCCTGCGTTCGTCCCTTGGTCTTCCAGCTCCAGCTTGGAGATAAGCCTCCAAAGGAAGAGGTGGTGGCAATCCGTAGCTTACATCAGGATGGGAGTTCTCCAGCAGCCCTGGACCAAGTCCAGAATCCAGTCCTTCAGAGCACTGGTCAGGACAGTGGTACCTGCAGATCTGGATGGTGCACTGGAAGTGGACCTCCATTGAATCAGGGAATTTGAACGCTTGGAAGTGAGCGTAGGATAAAACTGATGCACTGGCTCCAAAGTTCTTGATCTTGGTGAACCTGGACATCAGTTTGGGTCTAGTAATGCAGCCCCGCTGGTCAACCAATTGAATTGGGGCGCGTTTTCCATCATGAGCCATGCAATTGCGGACCAACATGTCAAACTTGGCCTCGTCGTCCTTTATCGCCAGGACCATGGTCATGGTTTGGCCAATCTTCACCAGTCCAGATACTTCCGAAGCCCAAGGTCCCTTGCCAACCTGGATCTGCATCCAGCAGCCAACATTGTCTCCAGCAAAGTCTGCTCTTACCACGTCCAACATGTCCACTGGGAAGGGTCTGAAGGTCACGGACTTTTCGTACAAATCGTGCCAAGTGCATCTGAGCTTTCGGGCTTGGTCCCAAACCTCCTGGACCTGAGGGTCGTACTGGACCACGATGATGTTCTCGAAGTAAGTTCCTGATCCTGATTCCGCGCCATATCCGTACAACCCGTTTTCGGTGTTTCCAGCTGTTCCGCAGGCGTGAATTCCGATTTCGAAGTTAACAGAAGTCCGGCCTAGTCCTGCGGGAAGGTGGACGCAATTTACGTTGCTGTAGTGGCCTTTGCTGAAGACTATGCCGTAGAAGGGTTTGTCGAAGCCCAGGAAGATTTTCATTAGATTCTTTTCGCATTTTACGTCTAACGACACTATCTTCGGCATGTCAGGGGATGTTGAAGGCCAGTCACTGCTTACGCCTGTTCCGGTGGTGAAAACCTTGTCTAGAGCTTCTGCGGGTTGCTTTCCTGGCGGGGGAGGAGGAGGGCCGTGATAGGCTACGTTGTGCCGATTGGAACCGATTGTTCCGCGATTGGAGTTAGAGGCAGAGTTTGAAGGAGGGTTAGAGTTTGAATTCAGGGATTCGAGAGCCAGTTGGTCTGTTGAAGCGTCTTCTGGGCGGGCGGCTGAATCCTCGCCAGGGATCGCTTCGACTACTTCTACTTCCTCGGGGGTTGCCTAGAAGAAAAAGAGTAATTAGTTAGTAAAATATTGTAAAATTGATAGAGAATGTTGATAAGTAGGTGAAATTAACAAAAAAGTATGAAATTTGCTTAAATAGCTTAGAAATTGTAAACTACATGCGAGAGGGAATAGCGCCACTATACCTCCTAGCGGTGACTTTTGAAACTAAAATTTTTTTGGGCGCTAAATGATAAAGCTTAGTATCTAATGATGAAAAATAATGATTAAAAAGTGATGGGTTGAGTTAGTATTGGTGGAAGGTTAGTTATACTTATGGCGTGGCGGATAAACGGGTACAGCTTCTGGGAAGTTAAACGGAAAAAGAGTGCAGCATAGGATGAAAAAAAGCTGGAGGTAGGGCATGCCGGAATAGGAACGGAGTGCAGTTAACAACTGAGTGCAGATTCCCAAACCAGAACAAGTGAGTTAAGCCTGGTTGGTCGGCTCTGTCGAGAGTAATACATTGTATGACATACGGGTAATGTGAAGAAAGACGCCAGACTTAATACCAGACTTCGGACTAGACAGACTCGTTGCGTCACCAGTGACCCCCAGATAACGGGCTACATATGTGGTGTATATATGTATTTTGCCGCTCGCGGCTACGGTCAATCGGGCACCTCATTTTTATCAGACGCATTTGTTAGATTAAATGCGCGGTTCATAAGAATAGTTTCGGATTTATTAAGTCGGGAGGTAGATTTTTCAATTCTACGGAAAATTTCCGATAAAATGACTACCCACAAGCCTATAGCTCTTGATAGATCACCATATGTGATCATATATGACATGTATGATCACATATGATCAACATATGATCATATTTGACTACATATGTGATCATATGTGGTCATATGAAGAACTATAGGCTTGTGGGTACTCATTTTAAAGCTCTCGAGGTCTACTTTCATGTGGATTGATTCTTTTTAAGATTTTCTTGAAATTTTAAAAGTTCATTGTAAATAACTGTTATAATTGGAATTAATTTGTAGTATATTAGAAAACATAACTGTTGATAAAATTTTAATCTGTCCCTTGTTATCGGAAATTTATTACTCGGGCCGAACGGTACCTTTTTAAAATTAACGGAATATTTAAAACTGATATTTGAAATTTTCCTCCGGGTTAGAAATTTTAGCACGATGAGCAGAAATTAAATGTGCTGAGACGACAATAAATATTGAGCGGGCTCTTGACATAAATAATATAAAAAATCGGGTGGTAAAAGAAAGGCAAACATAAAAGAATAATTAAATAGTAAATAGTGAATATAAAAAGTATGTTAGAATAAGCATAAAAAATAATTATTCAAATTCAACCAGTTTAAGATTCTTGAGACATTCTAATGGTTGTTCTCTATAAGTATTTTTATATGTATAACGGCATCGCTATAGGAGATATATATATTTTTTTTAGGTTTTATAAATGCGGCTTAGTTACAAGCTTTGAATTTTTTATTCACTATTTTACTGTGTGACCAGTTAGGATTTTTTATTAATGATAAAATAAATGAAACTTACCCCACCAAAGAGAAGACATATTAAAATAACACTGTAAAGCCTCATTCCTTGGCCCGCAATCGCTGTCAATTAATCACGAGCCCTGAAAAAAAAATTTTTAAAATTAATTATATTAATATAATAATAATAATACTATCTTAAATGGCATCAATGAAGAGATGTAATAAAATAAGTTGCAAAGATTATCGGTAACAAATTATTTATATTATAAGTCGTACGGATGAGCCTTTACCTTTTTTCCTACCCCTACCCTCCGTGACCAACAAATATTGAGGTTTGTTTGACCATTATTTATCGGGTAAGACACTACACGTACACGAATGGGAATAAGAGGATGAGAAAAAAAATGAGCATATGATCCGGTCGGGTACTAACGTCCCAAATTCCATAACTCCGTTATTTTTTTATTTTTTAGATAAATCAATTCTATTTAATTTTTTATTTGGGTCGGAGAAAATTTTTAACCGACCTTAAAATCGTTAGAAAATATCGAAAAGTACACAAAATTACCAAAAAGTACAATTTTTAATTAAAAAACCAGGAAATTGCTTACTACATGCGAAAAGAAACAGCGCCATTTGGCCACCTAGTGGTGACTTTTAGAACTAAAATTTTTTTCGGCCTAAACGTTAAACCTTGACATCTTTTAAGAGAAAATGGAGTAAGTACCACAATAATTACATTGTAATGACTAAAAAACTCAATTAAAAATAGTTATTTCGACGAAATTTGACTAAAATATTAAAAAACACTATAAAATCGGTAAGAAATGTCAAAAAAGTACAATTTATTGTTAAAAACCTTAGAAATGCCTTTTTAGATGCGAGAAGAAACAGCGCCACTTGACCACCTAGCGGTAACTTTTAGAACTAATTTTTTTCCCCCCTATTATTAAATTTTGGTGTCTAAAAGTAATATTAAGCATCAATACGTCAATAAATACTTATAAAAAATGCGAAAAAAAAGAACGGAAGTTAAAATTGTAATTTATAGCGTTGATTAATATTCTAAGTATCATATTACTTATAAAATATAATGATTATTATTAATAGCGGACCGATCGTGAGAATGAGAATAGAAAAAATCGGCGAGTCGATTTAGACAATAGAATATTCATGAAAGTAGGACTATTTGATGGTACAAGATATTAAGATTGAAATAATGGTTATGCTTATGATTGTCATTATAATGATTATGGTAATTATTATTATTAAGAAGAAGAAGATGATGATGATGTTGTTGCCGTGGCATGTGCATAACATATGGCCTACTAACTCAATGGATTTACTCTCATCGGTCCTACTTTCGTAAGTAAATTCCTTACGTGACAATACATCGTATACTTCTTTGCATTAATATGTTATTCGTTATTATTACTAATGTATTTATGCTTGCGGGAAAAATTATGCAGATTATACATTAATCTCTGACATCTTTGACCCCCGTTGTATTAAATATCAATGGAATATTTATATTAATTTAGAATTAGATGAACATTTAAATTGTTTGATGTTCCAAAAAGATAATTGGGAATTTTGGTCAGTAAAGAATAAAATAGTTGGTCAACGATTAAATTTATGGAAGAATGTTGTGGTGAAGCCAAAATAATGAGGACACCATAAAAATTCAAGCTGGAGGAATTGTCATAAAAATTGAGCAAAGTTATGTATTTATATCGAGGCCGGAATTGATTATCCTGAATTAAAGTCCTAATTTTTGGGCGGACATATCACAGAGCCGAGGAATAAAAATGAGATGGTCACATGGTTGGTTTATATTATAATGGACGAGAATGTAAAAACATAAGTGACTGCTAAAGAGAAGATGATCAAGTAGAAGTAGAAGAAGACGATCTGAGATACTAAAATCCCCGGTGATGGGTAACCCGTTATGTGTATTTGGCAACCTGCCCATTCCTCTTTATTTCTCTGTGCCTAATTCGTAAGAGCCACCGGGTTCAAATTTAAAGACAATCATCATCATCATTATCTTATTCTTCTTTTAAACTCTTTCTATCGACCTCAAGTGGTCAATTCATTTTTAGTGACACCAATAATTTTTATTTATTAATGATAACTTTGTATCAAATGAAAATTTTGAAAAATCCTTTTGTAACTTTATTTCTTATAGTGTACAGAAGGTCCCTACAAAATTTCAAATTAATCGGAGGTAGGTCCCAAATATTGATTTTTTGACTATAACTTTTGACCAAATTGAAATTTTGAAAAAACTATTGGGTAACTTTAATTCTTATAGTGTACAGAAGGTTCCTACAAAATTTCAGACCAATCAGATAGAAGGCGCAAAAAAAGTTTTTTTTCGTTTTTCGTATTGGGTACCATTGACCTTTTTTAAATGACTGTAACTTCTAAACTATAAAAAATTTTCAAAAATCCTCTTACAAATTATTTTTATATAGTACATAGAAGGTCTCTACAGAATTTCAGACCAATTGGATAGAGGACGCAAAAAAAGTTTTTTTTCGTTTTTCGTATTTACTACCATTGACCTTTTTTAAATGACTCTAACTTCTAATCTATAAAAAATTTTCAAAAATCCTCTTACAACTTATTTTTTTACAGTACACTGAAGGTATCTATAAAATTACAGAGCAATTGATGACTTGCGTAACAACTTGAGCTCGGATGCAAATTTACTACCCCATAAAATAAAAAATAAAGAATGAAACGGACGATTTATCCGTAATTGCACCTTTGAAAAGGCCGTCAAATAAATCTTAATAATTCACATCCAATTAGTCTATCTCCCGTGTTCATTTAATAAATGCAGAGGCTCATTTCCGGCTGAGCGATCAAGTTAATCGCCGCTCTAATGACCAAATTAATTAATAATCACTTTCAATTGCCGAGGCTTTGCAACTATTTTAAACTTAGCAATAAACGTACGTACCTTCGAGTCCTTAATCACAGTTCACTGATCACTTTTTAGAAGTTTTATCACTAAAATCACTAAAAATCGGGCTACTGACGGGGGTAGGTTCGCATAATTCGGCAGCTCGAGGATTTTATCAGAGAATTTAAGGATAGGAATTAGACTAAATTTGGGATGCAATGATGCGTGAACACTGTAACTGATGGAGTCGAAGAGCAAGAATGGAATACACCTGTCCGATATACAGAGTATACTATAAGATCGTGTGTCCCGCCCCCTGACCCAGACACACGACGACAGTACAGTTATATAGGTCTCTGAGGTATATCGTGGTATCATATCGTAAAACAGCCATACCTTACGTTCGAGAGACCCCCATACCAGTAGGCAGTAGTAGAAGCGTAGACGTGTCCCAGCCGATCTCGAGACTGTGTCAGAGTGAGCAATGCTCAAATACACCCTGGGTAAACAAGTAAATAAGTAAGTAAGTATGTAAGTAAGTAGCCGGGGAAATTTACCTTTATTGCCAGTTACAAAGGTTATGTTTAGGTTTACAACCCATTATTTACCTTTCAATCAAGGTAACAATATCTCTTTAACCACCGAAAGACACTTAAAATCCTACTGGGGTCTTTTTTATGGTACACGCAAGACCTCTTTTTAATTTTGGACCAAAATTTAATTCAAGTGGCTGTAACTTTTGACCAAATTAAAATTTTCCAAAAATTCTTTATTATTTTAACTTCTTATAGGGTACCGAAGGTCCCTATAAAATTTTGGACCAATCGGCTATCTGGCGCAAAAAAAGTTTTTTTTCGTTTTTCGTATTTTCAGCTATAGATTTTTTTCAAATGACTATAACTTATAAACTATCAAAAATTTACAAAAATCATTTGATAACTTAATTTCTTGCAGTGTACCAAAGGTCCCTATAAAGTTTTGAACCTATAAAAATACCATGAATTAATTTTACACTGCAACATCGATCTCCATAAAATTGCAAATAAATCGGTAGCTTTAAAAAAATTCTTAAACCCCAAAAACCTCTTTATCGAATCAAAGGAACTTGGAATTACCTTAATTATAGCCCTTGATTTTATAATCCCGTCTCTCCGATATCGTATAAGCGTTTTTTGTGTACCACCACTTAATTATTTATCACCCCACCATGTCCCACATACTTGTTTATAAAAGTAAGTGGGGGGGAGCCATCTTCCAGCTATTTCTTAAAGTTTTTCATTGACCTTTCCAGTTTGACACCGTTTTGTCTCATTCTTAAAACTTACTATACCTTTACTAAATACAAATCTTATAGTTAACCATTTATACTGACACAAAATATAAAAAGGAGTATAGTTAACTCGTACAAAAGATACTATTACGTTCCATCACCTGTGTAACATAACAGAACCATTCATCCTGTCATAGTTGATTCTGTACCGGTATTAAGCTACCTTACTCACACCGATATCAACAAGCTCAATCAAAGTGAACTTGACACGAATACACCGAGGTCGTAGATGCCTCCGTCGATTAGTAAATACCGGAAATGCTTTTATGTTACTCCCGTTTTCTTCTTTTTAAACGTTGAATTAGTATTTTTACACGGACTAATTTCCTTTAATTCGGATCAATCGTTTCTTATAATTAAAGTAAGTCATAAAAAACATTTATGATAGAAAACATTTATTCGGACAGAATATGCCTCTATCATGATTTCGTTGGGTAATTACATTGATAAGAAATTTATTTTTTTTCTTTAAATTTTTATTACTTCAATTCTTATGTCAGCACATTAGTGGTTTACATTTTTTTAATTAAAAATTCCCATGACCATTTATTTCTAATTTCTGACAATGCATTGAAACAGGAAACAGTATTGTTATACTGATCAACCATCTGAATCATGCATTCGAAAGGTATGTAGGTGTAAGTATTCTTTGGAACCATCACGTCGAACATAACTGATCCGGTTGTGTTGGCCTTAATTGGCAAATTCTGCCCCAAAACCAGCGAAGTGGCCAGTAGATCTTCTCTTATAGGATAAACTCTAGTCGTTCTCCCCATGGGAACTTTCAACTGGACGAATACTTTCAAGGAACTGATGTCGTAATCTGAAAATCATGAATTTCCATGAGACAAAGTGTCTCTAAATATGGCCGGTCTAAAGACCCAAATTCACTCGCTTGAAATTGCCACCGGGCTGTTGCTTTAGAGTTTTCGTAGAGTATGCACTTTTCTCCGCAATTATCAACGTACAGATTTAACGGCGTAGGTAGACCTTCGCATTCTGATATTGCATGTTTAACCTTTGGAGCCTCTGGAGCCTGCTGAAGAGAGGCCGCCACGCAGAATGTTGCGAATATAAGCGCTTAAGGGAAATTCAAGTTACATTAAAGACAGTTTCGATTTTATAGAGACTATAACTTTTGAACTATTGAAAATTTTGAAATATCCTTTAACAATTCAACTTTTTGTAGTGTATAGAAGGTCCCTACAAAATTTTAGACTAATCGGATAGAAGGCGCAAAAAAAGTTTTTTTTCGTTTTTCGTATTTATTACTATTAACCTTTTTTAAACGACTATAACTTTAAAACTACTAAAAATTTTTGAAAATCCTTTGGTAACTCAACTTCTTATAGTGTACCGAAGGTCTCTATAAAATTTTAAGTCAATCAGACATTTTGAGCAAAAAAAAAATTTTTTTTTTTTTATAAGGATAACTAATTTATATTAATAAAAATTAATTGAATATTATTTTTATAAAAAAAAAGTTAACTTACCTTTAACAAACATCATGTCGTCAATTTAAAAATCAAACTACATCCCGAAAGAAAAACCAGGGGTTTATATACCGAATTGTTACCACCCAAAAGTTCTTTGTCAAAAAAAATCCTCCGTGACACGTAGTCAATAACCTTGACTACGAATAGCAAGTATTATTACAAAAAAACACATTATTTAATGTGCCTAATAGCTTCTTTGATGGAATCATTAAAAATTTTTACCAATTAAAACTAAAATTTCTGATCTTATTACGAAATAACGGCATTAAATAGCAATTAAGCGCTTTTCGGTTTGCATGACAAGATAGCCGCTTCGGTGTGCGATCGCGCAATGATTAAGGTAAAGTAAATGAAAGACAAAGGACTTGATTGGTGTTTGAATTGTTTATTGACCTATACAAAATAAAATAATGTGGATGCATAATTAAAAATTACCTTAATCTCCATCGGTACATTGCGTTTGTCAATAATTGCTAGTTATTTAGCGCGACAAATGCCGAAGGAGCGGATTACAGCAGGGTTTTGTGCCAAGGGATTAAAAAATTTATTTTTTAACTTAAAAAAAATTTTCTACGCCCTTTTAACATTTGTCGCAGAGATTAAATTAACAATAATTAATCTTTGTGCACGATGCGGAATGGCAAATATTTTTAAAATCAATCATTAATGATAATTTGTTGCTAATTTAAGCATTTGCTCGATAACATTAAAAATATATTTACAATTTCAATATTTTTACATTAAATTTTCATAAATGTGTATATATTTTCAATAATTTGTCTATTTTTAAAGTCATCTTTCAATATATTTATTTATATTCTTTATTATATATATATATATATATATATATATATATATATCTTTTGTTTAATTTCTCGCTCATTAATTCTATAACCTTAATGCTGTTATATACATTGATAATTAGTAACATGATAAGTATATATATATATATATATTTATTTATATTTTTTCGGTGATTTATGATATTCTCGAGAAAAATATTCAATTACTTAACATTAAGATTCAATTTAAAGTTTTAACCTTAACTTCGATACATATTTAAATGGCATTGCTTCCTATTATAATCTTTTAATTAATATCAATATAATTATCAGAACATATATTTGTTAAAACTATAACTAATTCTTTTTAAATTGTAAATTATTAATCAAAAAAATTTTTTACTTTTGTGAGTAGCTAAGTTAACAAAATGGCGGGCAAGCTTCAGATACTTGCCATAAGATGGCGCTAGTAAGCTTTTCTTAGTACGTCCGCCATTTTGTTATGCTTATTAAGTTGATGCAAAAATTGACGTTATTTCTTTAATTTTTAGCAATAGTTCTTTATTTACCTTAAACAAATTAGTAATATAAATTAACGTCAATTTACGCTTATACTTTCATAATTGATTGTTTATTAAAAAATACCTTAAACTTAAAAAATTTGTACAATAATTCCAAAAGATAAAACCCAATTATTTATTGTTCAATTTTAACATCCTTATTGTCGATAAATTGATTCACATTAAATTTAATAGTGTCCTTAATAATTTTAAATCAATACATTTACAATTTTTACTAACAGTGTTATATATCCTAAATAAACTTACAAATTTATTAAAAAATACGCCTTCCCATAATTTCTCCCAAACTTACCGACAATCGGCAAAATTTCTTTACCGACAGTCGAAAACCAAAAAAGAATAATCTACGCAAGTGCAGAAGCGGGAAGTGAACTATGCTTTGGTTTAGTTTTATTAAGAAAAACTTTAATGCAGCCATTAAAGTCAGCGCTGACAAGAACATGTCCTCCACAACCTTTGGTCCTCTGTTCAACGACAGGATCAACAACAGGCTTAGGATTAGCGGAGCTATTGCTGCTAGTACTATCAGGATTGTCCCACTTTTCCCGGGCTTCGATCTGCTTGATGATGCTATCAGGATTGGGTGCAAATACAGCGCAGGTAACTACAGCATTATGAGCCTTGATTCCTTCCCAAAAGTCATTCCTGTCGCGCCTTACACTCGAGAACTTCGAATAATCATGGTGAGTCTTCCAAATATAAATACACTGATTCTCTGACCCCGCTAGGATGTACTGGCCATCTGGACTAAAGCTTGCCTTAATCTGGCTGCTGACATTGACGTATCCTTTGTACTTGCAGGACAAATTCAGATCTCTAAGGTCATACAACCTGATCCTGCTGTCATTAGAAGTGACCAGAATCTTGTCTTCACCAGGCATGGGTTCAATCCCGCTAATTTTGCGCCCTCTGGCGTTCTTCCCGCGAGTAGACCTCACGTCTATCTGCGTATGGTACTTCAGCTGGTCGGTATTGTAGAAAATACACCTGCCATCATAAGATCCAACGACGGCAAACTTTCCATTTTGACAGAAGTTAGCAGCAGTTATCAATTTGGTGCTTCCGTTAACTTCGTTCCAAACTGCCACCTTTTTGTCCGGGATGTTCCAGAGTCTTAACTTCCCGTCTAAAGACCCGGATAAGAAGTACCGGTCGTCTCGCGGATGGAAAACTATCGCGGTTACGAAATCTATGTGCTGGAAACAGCAGAGACACTCTTTCCGAGATATGTGCCACAGCCGGACTGTTTTGTCCATTGAGGATGAAAGGACGAAGTAATTTTTCGACCAGGATACGTCCAAAAGGTCCGAGGTGTGCCCTGTGTACGTGCAAAATGGCTTCGGCATAAAAGGACTCTTGGTGCCTTCTACTTCGCTCATCGCGCTTGCTATTATGTTGGGATCTTCCATTGATTGTTGGGAGACCAGTGACTCTTGTGATGGTGTTGGGCTTACCTTTATAGGTACAATTAGTTAATAATTGTGGTTTAATTCTTGAAAGGGTTGCCCCATGCAAGGATTTTAGGTTAGATGTGACCAACAATTTAATTTAGTTAGTGATTTCGAATTGAAGCATGATTGTTAGATCAATAATGTTAGATCGAGGATTAGTTGTAAATTTTAAAGGATTTTTACAACAAAAAAGACTAAATTGATATCGATATGACCAAAAAAAGGATGACAACAAAAAAAGGAACGAACAAATGACTTCTTCCGAATTTTCTAGATGATACAGGTTAATTTTGTGATAAATGTGATATGTGCTCTAGGATTTGTATGAAGGATCCCAGGTATCCCTCAGGAAACACACAATATAATGTAATTTTATGAATCAATCTCCTACAAAGTTTCGGCTTATAGGTTTTGTTTCGAACTTGTAGGAGTTTTATATATAAAGTTATAATCAGTGCCAGCAATTTTAATAGACTATTTTGGTTATAAATTAAGGTTTTATAACATTACGCGGTTTTTGTTATAAATAGGAGGGAAAGTTCTTTGTATATGCGAGAGGGAACAGCGCCACTTAGTCACCTAGCGGCAACTTTAAAAACTAAAAATTTTCTAGTGTAAATATTTAAGTAGTGACTTTGTTCACAAAATTTGACATAAATATTTTTAAAAATTGTTAAAAAAAAAAGTAAAATTAAAAGAATATATCAATAATTATGTAAAATTAATGAAAAACTTCAATTTTTACTGAAAAGTCTAAAAAATTGCTTGTTACATGCGAGAGAGAACAGCGCCACTTGGCCACCTGGCGGTAACTTTAAGAACTAAATTTTTTTTTCTAAATCTCGTAACTGAGGGTCATATTATGTTATTTTATGGTGATAAATAAAATTATTGCCAACACTGATCACAACAAACAAATAATAAATACAAAAAATAAGAAAATGACTCACCTTCTCTGCATTATACTTGGTCCGCATATCCTGGAAGTAGGTGAAGGCATCTCTGAGGACCCATATCCTGAGAACTCGATCCTGGCCGGCTGTAGCGAGTAACCTTCCGCAGGCAGAGAACTTCATGCACCAAACAGGGCCGACGTGTTCACCACTGAGATCTTGAACGTGCTGGAGATTGGAGAACTCGTAGGGCCCCTTGTGACTATTGGAGGCCTTGAGTTTAATGCACTGAGGTTCTCCAGGGTACACGTCGTCGACAATGTCCATAACATCTTCTTTGTGTCTCGCATGAGAAACCTCCTGAGCAATGGACTTGGCTTTGTCCATGGTCTTTCTGACAGTAGACCCCAGGAACCGCTTGATCTTCTGGGTCTTTTTGCGGACCCTACCGACGGTGACATCTTCGTCAGGAGGAATCGAGGACATTTTAGAATCAACACTCTCTTCGTCACTTTCTTTTTCTTTGTCCAAACTCGAGTTACTAACGTACTCTGATGTCAGTCGCATTATGTGCAATGATAATGGGTTCATACACTGAGGTAATTTGTCTTCGGCTATACTTAAAGGCACGCGCTCTCCGGTATCGAGGTTTAATACTGTCACTTGTTCCAAAATTTCCTGGAATATATTTATTTTAAATTAGTATTTGATTAAAAATGTATTAACAATAAAGAAAATATTTTATTATCTATATTATTAAGAGAATAAGAAAAATTTTGTGTCTAGGATAGATAATTAAGAAATGACCTAGTATTTTGAAAACTAATGACATTTTTAAAGATATAAACTCATCCTGATGATATACTCATCGAGACCTTTCGTATGAATACCCACATCAATTTTTCATATATTTTATATATAACTAATATATTATATATATATATATATATATGAGAAATATATCAAAAATGCATGTAGGTACTCAAATGAAAGCTCTTGATAAATCTAACATCAGGATGAGCTTATATCTTAAAAAATGTCAATATTTAAGAAAGTACAGTGCAATTTAACAAAATCCATTATTTAATTATAGTTACTAGTAATTTTTAAAATAAAAAAACATTCACCATATCCGTAAGACGTTTGCCAGAATCAGTCCTCGTCCTGACAAACATATTGAGCTGCTTGACCATATCCTGATCTCCCGCAGACTTGCGTCTCTCCCGAGTACCCTGAAGACTGGTGGCCAACCTGTGCTGTCCTAGAGAGTATCTACCGACACTATTGCTGGATAACGAGCCCAAAGGGCTGCTGGACTTGTCGCTCGACTGCAAGCTTATTAACTCAGCTTTCATCTTCTCCAGGCGTTCTATTTCCTCCGCTGAGGGGCCTTCTGCTTTTGATTTGTCCTCATCCTACAGATAACACCACCAATATTAAAAAAATATTTAAGTAAAATAATTATTTAAAAAAAACTAGAGCTCGTCATCCAACAACTAATCTACCTTAAAATTGGTTCGGGTTTCAAAACAATCAGAGGTATAATTTTAATTAATAAAAATTTTAAATAATAAAAATAAATTCTACAAGCTTGAATTTGCTAAATGAAATATCATGATGATGAAATTTTTTAATAATAATTAATGAGTAATCGATATTATTATTATAACAACTAGGCAATAAAAAATGATTTTTATTTGGGCTGCTCGTTAGACTGACCCGATATCGGTGACTATAAAATCCTCTGAGGGTCTCGAATGACTCAAGGCGAGCTGGAATTTTATCATTTCTGAGATAAAGGACGATATTACTCGAGAAACTTGCCTGAGGCTTCACGACGTACTGGCCCTTGATTGCTGATCTTATGTCCAAAGAGTGCTCGAATTCTCGGGTTATTGACTCGATTGTGCTTGCTGGGCTCGGCAGTGACGAAGCTGGTACCGATCCTTCTGCTGCAGAAGGCTAAAAAAAAATTTATAAAGTCTATAGGCTGCATTCGAAAATTCTCTATTTCTAGATAAATAATTAAGAAATGACCTTGTATCTTGAGAAATATTGACATTTTTTAAGATATAAGCTCATCTTCATGATATACTCATCAAGACCTTTCATTTAAGTACCCACATCAATTTTTCATATATTTTATATATTTATATATATTATATATATATGTATATATGAAAAATATATCAAAAATGCATGTGGGTACTCAAATGGAAGCTCTTGATGAGTGTAACATCAGGATAAGCTTATATCTTAAAAAATGTCAATAGTTAAGAAATTATCGTACAATTTATTGAATCAATAAAAAAAAAGAACTTACAGCAAGATCGGTAGGAGTCTGTGGCTTAGATTTTTTTTTCCTCCTGGGAGGAGCAACAGGAGCTTGATCTCTGTCAAGAGTCTTGCCATTGCCCTTGGTACTGGCAATAACATCAGGTTCCTGAAGTCCAACATTATTCGCTTGACAATTTAAATTAGCGAACTCCTTCCTGCCATTAACCGAAGCACTGTCCTGAACAATATCTCCGGAAAGAGTGATGACACTCGAGGACTGTGAGGCTTTCTCCGAGCCAGTGTCTTCGTCTCTGCTGGGAATCGATGACATCTGCATGTCCCGGGTCAGGGGAATCGGACAAGAGACTCCGTGGTGCAGAACCCCAGACAGGGAATCCCCAGCACCAGCAAGAATCCTCCCGACCCTGCCAAGCGAAGTCATGCTCTGCAAGCTGACAGTGTCGTGCTCGATGATCCGGAACGGGTGGGTCGTTTTAGCTGGTGCAGGGTACACACCCTCTATCGAGGAAGTCTGGCTGTCTGGAGGCGAGTTGCTGATCGGGATGTCATCGTCCTCGGTTTGCATCCGCTGTCTCAGTTCGCGGAATCTCCGTCGGCCCTTCAACTTGTCTAATGTCTTCTCTTCGTCATCTGGCTTGCTCACAGGCTTTGACTCATCAGCTGGAGCTGTCGGAGGCTTTGGGTCCAGTGGCTTTACGAATACTGAGTCATCTGTCAAGGTGGGTCCTGGTTTTTCTGGTGGAACTTGGCTAACAGGTGGTAATGATTCGCGGCCATTACTTTTTCTGGAAATTATTTTAAAAAATATTATGGGTATTAATAAATTTATTTAAATTCAATTTTATAATTTACTAGCAACCTAGCTAGTAAATAAATAAAATTTTGCTTTTTTAAATAATGACCTTTGTTAAATTGAACTGTATTTTAAGGTCTCGATGAGTGTAATGTTGGGATGAGCTTATATCTTTAAAAATGTCAATATTTCACAAGATACAAGGTCTTCTCTTAATTATTGATACTTTTCAAGATATAAGCTCATCCTGATGTTACACTCATCAAGAGCTTTCATTTGAGTACCCACATGCATTTTTGATATATTTTTCATATATTCATATATATAAATATATAAAATATATGAAAAAATCATGTGAGTACTCAAATGAAAGGTCTCGATGAGTATAACGTCGAGATGAGCTTATATCTTAAAAAATGTCAATATTTCACAAGATAGAAGGTCATTTCTTAATTATGTATCTAGAGATAGATCATTTTATCATATAAATACACTGGCCATAAAATTTTGGTTATTCTTTTAATAATATAGATAATAAAAAAATTTATTTAAGTTTAATTGAAATAAATTTAATAAAAATATCAAATCTTTATTTTAATTACTTTAAATATTAGAAAACAATATTTATTTAATAAATTCTTTTTCAATACTTAAATATTTTTTAATATTGGAATTAATTTATTAAAAATAAAAAAAAAATTGACAGTTGTCAGCTAACTTCAGTTTCATTTAAAATATAAAAAAAATAGTATTGTCATTATAAATAAATAAATGTTAACTAATTAAAATTAATGTAATAAAAAGAATTAACATTATTAGCAACAATATTGATAAATATAAATACCTGCTCCGATTGAAACTGTCATCCTCAGCGTCAAAAAATTCCTCGGAATCACTGCTCCCAGACATTCTACACTCGTCCTCAGATCATCATCCCGTGAAAGTTAATAGTGACAGCTGAGAGTGTCAAGCCAGCTGTTTAGGAACAATTAATGAATTATAATTGCTAATTTTAATAAACAATGTCGAGATAATAGAAAAAGAATTAAATTTCTGTCAGTCTACAAAGCTAAACACTCTCATTGATGTTCTGCACTAGTTTATAACCTTGAAGATTTATTAAGTGGCGCCCTCTTGTGGCGGGATTTTTAAACTATTTTTTTACGCGCGAAAATTAAAAAATTTTTTTTTTAATTTAATTAATATTAAATAAAATTCAAAGAAAAATTTTGAATAGAATTTTTTCAAAAATAATTCATAAAAATTTTAAAATTATTAACCAAAAAAAATAAATTTTAAAAAAGTGACTAGAGGGCGCTGCAGTTACGATAGCTTTTTTTTTTCAGCCAATAAAATTCAATAAATTAAATCTAAATAATTTGATTGGTTCGTAGTGTAAAAAATATATTTTATTTATTCACTTGTAAAAATATTTCTGTACGTACATAAAAATTGTCAATAATTATATTTATTTAAATAAAAATAAAAATTGTTTTTTATTGTGTTAAAGTTATTGCTGAATAAAATAAATGAATTAATTATTAATTATTAATACTGTAAGTTTTTATTATTATTTTAAAACCTTAAACGAAAATAATTTTGACAGTTTTCTAACCTAAAAGTGCAGCAAAATAAATAAACATTTGTTTCCTCTTGTAAATATCATTAAAATTTTAAAATATAATTTATTAAATTGAATATGAAATTTATTTAAATAAATATTTTTTTAGTGTTAAATTTTTAAATAAAATAAAAATTATTTTGACAGATTTCTAACCTAAAAGCGCAGCAGTAAAATAAAAATTTGTATACTTGTAATTATTATAATTATTATTAAAAAAATTTTTTTTTTAATTCTTAATTATAATTTCTGCATGTAGAATTTTTTTAATTATAATAAAAAAATTGTGATCTATTTTCAGAGTAATAAAAAATGAAATATTCAACGTCACCACCAACAACTCCGCGGTCGTTGTCACCAAATAATTTCTCCAGCGGATTTTTCTCATCATCGTCGTCGCTTCCGATTCCAATCACTTATCGCAATCAAACTTGCATGGGAGGCGCGTCAAAGTGTTACAAATATTTGAGAAAATTGTTAAAATTTGAACAAATGGACTTTGAGTTTGCTATGTGGCAAATTATATACTTGCTAGTATCACCTCAAAAAGTTTACAGAAATTTCAAAAACCGTAAACGTAAGTTTATTTTATTTTATTTTTAAAAATTAAATAAATATTTTATTATACTTATTTCAGAGACAAAACTCCAATTTGCAAGAGATGATCCTGCGTTTTTGGTGCTATTAAGCTGCTGGCTGCTAATATCATCATTGGCATTTGCCCTAGTCTTGAAATTAGGCTTCCTTCAATTTATTAAATTTTTGCTGTACTCTACGTTTGTAGATTGTATTGGAGTTGGATTGTGTACAGCTACATTATTTTGGTAAATATTTTATTTTAATTAATAAATATTCAATATTAATAAATAATTTATTTAAGTTTAATAATGGTTTCAGGTTTATAAGTAATAAATATTTAAGACATGACACTACTCAAGATGTTGAATGGGGATACGCATTTGATATTCATCTAAATGCTTTCTTTCCACCATTAATTATTTTAGATACTTTTCAAATATTTTTGTATCCTGGTAAGTTTTTTTTTATATTTTAATTTTTAGAATAATAACTATTTTCTTGAATTTCCAAGCTAAATTTTCCTCTGAAACAGACCGTGAATAATAATAATTATTTAATCCTGATAAATAAGCTAAGCATAATAATTCATTTATCCATAATTTATAATTATCAATTTATAGATTATTTAATCGGGATAAGCTTATATCGTTAAAAATGTCAATCGTTCACAAGATACTAGGTAATTTCTTAATTATGTTAAATTGTACTTTACTTTCTTAACTATTGATGTTTTTAAAGATATAAGCTCATCCCGATGTTACACTTATCAAGAGCTTTCATTTGAGTACCCACATGCATTTTTGATATATTTTTCATATATATATATATATATATATATATATATAAAATATATGAAAAATTGTTGTGGGTACTCAAATGAAAGCTCTTGATGACTGTAACATCGGTATGAGCTTATATCTTTAAAAATGTCAATAGTTCACAAGATACTCGGTAATTTCTTAATAATAATAATTTTATTTCAATTCCAGCATTTATAGACTATGATGTATTCTCAGCAAGATTTATTGGGAATACTTTATGGCTTGTCTCCGTAGGATATTATATTTACATAACATTTTTAGGATACACTAGTAAGCATTATACATATTAATATTAATAATAATAAATTTATTGTTGATTAATTTATTTAATTTTAGGCGTAGAAATATTGCATCGCACAGCTGGAATACTTTGGGCGTTACCAATAGCGGTATTAATATATATCGTATTTTTGTGTGCTGGAATAAATATAAGTCAGATAGTAATTAATTTTTACCTCAATCGAGTCGTCTAGTAATTTAATTACTAAGTTAAGCAATACTTAATTTAAAAAATATCTACTGTATATTTTCATATTATATAATTAAAGTATTAATTATATTACAATTTATAATAATATTTATTAAAGTGAAAAACAATTACAAATATAAAAATAATTTAATTACAAATACTTCGGTTGGCGCTTCAATACTGAAATATCTAGATTTTGTCGATTCTGTTTTTTACCTAGAAATAATTATTTATTTATAAAAAAAATTGTAGGAATATAATTTTATAAAAAAAAATACATACCTTTATAATTGTACACTGAATTATCCTCCAAAGTCAATAATTGACGATACCGTTCATCGTTTATTATATTATTTAATAATTTATCAGTGTTATTATTATAATTATTACCGTCATTAATGGGAGTACTAATAACGCTCATTAATTTAGTCAATGTCTGTAAATTAGGGCTCTCACTATTGTGCCCAAGATATTTTAATGCCAAAGCTTGCATATGGATGCTCGTATTGTCGTCGACTATTGAATTTGTTGTTTGGACAATGTTGGTTTGGTAATTTACTTTTGGATAATATGACGAGTCATAGTTCATTCTGTAATAAAAAAAATTAATATTTATCATGATTAGGAATTTAGAAATAATAATTTTGATTTATTTAATAATGACTTTGGTTAAATTGCAATGTACTTTCTTAAATATTGATATTTTTAAAAATATAAGCTCATCTCGATGTTACACTCATCAAGAGCTTTCATTTGAGTACCCACATGTCTTTTTAATATATTTTTCATATATTGATATATATAATATATATAAATATATAAAATATATGAAAAATTGATGTGGGTATTCAAATGAAAGGTCTCGATGAGTATAATGTCAGGATGAGCTTATATCTTTAAGAATGTCAATAGTTCACAAAATACAATGTAATTTCTTAATTACTGACATTTCTTAAGATATAAACTCATCTTGACATTACACTCATCAAGAGCTTTCATTTGAGTACCCACATGCATTTTTTATATATTTTTCATATATTGATATATATGATATATATATATAAATATATAAAATATATGAAAAATTGATGTGGGTACTCAAATGAAGGGTCTTGACGAGTGTAATATAAAAATGAGCTTATATCTTTAAAAATATCAATAGCTCACAAGATACAAGGTAATTTCCTAATATAGATAGTAATAATAATAACCTTTCATCAATAGAAATAATTTTATCATCACCCAACCCAGTAGCCATGGTGGCCTTAAATATCTTCCACTGCTGCATCATAGACCTCTGCTGTCCCTTGTCATTAATAATCGACTGTTGAGTCTGATAACGATGTTGTTGCTGGGACTGACCATCATTCTGAGTGTCAAGCATTTCATTAACCTGACACATCATGTTATTATAAAAAGTCCAGCCAACCTTGGAAGAAACTTTCCCCTTAGGCCTGGCACAACCATCATCACTATGACTACCATTACTTCGACAATCATTGTCCCCATAAGTATTAAAATTACCTCCATGCTTCGAAGACATCACTCTGACTGACACTGGATCATTAATTCTAGGCCCGAGTGATGGCAAGTCAATCACCGGAATTAAATTAGCTTCATTAGGTGTCTTCTTCACAGTAAATTCCAAGCTTGTCATCACACCTATTGATATTTTAGCATCTTCATGTCTATCATTTGCAGCCAATTTCTAAAATAAATAAATTAATAATTAATAAACTAAATAAAGAAAAATAAAAAATTTTAATTAAAAACTTACAATTTTTTCACTGTTAATTTTTTCCTTCTGGTGAATTGATATCAAAGCATTTATCTGAATTTCCAGAGACTTTATTTGCTGATTCTGTGATTTTATTAAAGACAACAATAATTTTAAATTATTATAATTGTCCAGGTTGTCATTTTTACTTCTACTGACACAATTATTTGAATTTAATTGTCTGTGTGATTTATTTTGCTGCAAATGCCCGGAAATGTGTCTGTAAATAGGTTCAATACTCGGCGCTATTTTTCCAGAGTTGACAGGGACAATGCTGGTGGTACTTTCTTTGAGCTTTTGATAGAATTTAAACCTTAAGTCGTTTCCACTGTCTTGTTTTTTTAATACTTCAGTCGAGTGTTCGGTTATTGCTTTTAATTTTTGAAAATTGTCACTTCTAGGAGGTCGAGATTTTTTATTATAATTGTTAGAAACTTCTTCTCTAGGATGAACATTGTTTGGGCTGATAAATGAAATATCTGGGATGCTTGGAGTCACTAAAGCTTTATCCTAAAATTTTTTTAAATTAAAATTTTTATTATTTATTTATCTTATAACTTTTATAAATTATAAAACAATTTTTTTGTCACAAAAATTAAGAACAAAAATTTTTTTTTTAATTTTGATATCTGCCAAAATTTTTGTTAATATTTAAATTTGTAGTTTTTAATTAATTAATTGTAAAGACTTTAAAACTAAGAAAAAAAAATTTTTTATAATAATTAAAAACAAAAATTGTTTTTTTTTTAATGAATTAATTAAAATTTTTAATATTTAAATTTGTAATTTTTAATTAATTAATTAAAATAAAAATTGTTTGATATAAAAATCATAAATATTATAAGACACCTGTCAAATCTTTAATAATTAATTTTAAAAAATAATAATAATAATAATAATAATAAAATTATTAATTTTTAGATCTTTTCTACCTGTCAAAATTTTTTTACAAAATTAAATCAATAAAATAAATAAATAATTACTGTTAATCCAGAAATAGGAGCTCCTAATTTCCTCCTAGGTTCAGTATCATATTTGTCCATCACAAAAAAACCAAAAATTCACTTATATAAAATCAACAAGTAACTAACAACAAACAAAATAATTAAAATGGAGGTTATTTATTATATTTTCACAACACTCTTGCCGCAAACTTATTTTTATTTACAAAAAAAAATCCTTAATTAAGCGCGCATGCGCAGAAAGCACACGTGACATTTTAACGATGACAATGATGATAATGGCGATGGTTACTGTCCACAAACTATGCATACATTACACACACAACACAGACTGTAGAAGAGTGTATAGCAAAAATCGGAGCCAGGATCCAACGCACAGAGTTTACAGAGTTTACAGAGTTTAGAGAGTGGCACAGAGTGCACAGAGCACAGTGAGCACAAAACACACAATATTAAATAATAATTTATCCAAAATGGTGCTGCTGATGTCGATCGTCTCTTTTACATTTTCACTTTTATTAACTCCTTTCTTCATGATTTCTTTGGGACTGATATTTATCGCATCCATCGGGAAGTCCCTCGGGATACGCAAACTTTATATTAAAATGTTGCTCACGTTATTTGAAGTAAGTTATATATTTGTTTTTAATAATTGTTAATTAATCTTCACCTATTTTTTTATTATTAACCTTAATTTAATTTTTTTTATCAATGAATGATTTTTATTTTATTTTAAATATCCCAGGTATGAAAATTAATAATTTTTAAAATTCTATAACAAATTAATTATGTCAAAAAAAAAAAAAAAAAATTGACATTTAGAATTTTAAAAAAATAAAACATGCAAATTTTTTAAAAATGTTTTTTTGGGACAAATTTTTTTATTAAAAAATTGTCAAGTGACTGCTAACTTTAATGTCATCCCAGGTTGGCTTTGTTGAGTGTCAATAGACTTTGTCACTGAACTCTTTCTTAAAAATTAAAGGATTACAGTGGTAGATTTTTTTTTTTAGTGAATTATTTTAATACAGGGTTAATTTATTAATTAAAGTTTAAAATTTTTATTTTTTTTTTGTAATTTTATCAATAAATAAATAAAATGAAGATTTTATTATTATTATTATTAATAAATAAATAAATAAATTAATAATAATAAAATAAATTCTTTTTTATTTTAAATAAAAAAATTAAAATTTTTTTTAAGTATTAAAAATGAATAATAATGATAATATAAAATTTGTCATATGTCAATAAAATACTTGACATTTTTTTAGTATCAAGCTAATTAATTAACAATTGTATTTTGACAAGGTACAAAGTTCTTTAACAGATGATTCAACATAATAGTACTAAAAAATTTTTTTATAATTTTAATTGATAAAATATTTAAAAATATATTTCAGTATGGAAGATTGAACATTGAAAAAGTCCGACTTCAAGGAAAAACTCAAGACGATAAAAACAAACAAGACAAAGGTGGCGGCGGTGGCGAGTTTAATTCTTCGACTGATAGTTTTAATTCGTCATTTGAAACTGACGATGGAAAATTTAAAAATGGATCTTTGGGAAACACCGTGATAGCGAGGTCCAGAGATCTTATTCTAGTACCTGAACCAGAACAGAAGAACAAAAATAATGAGGATAAGTCGAGTAAAAAAGACCCACAGACTGATGATGATGTTAATGATAAGGTAGTTTTATCTTGTGTCATATAATTAATCTTTTTAAATTAGATTGTAATTTTTTATTTTTTACTTTGCAGAAAAATATGAAAAATTATGAAAGACAATCGTCTTTTGAAACACTACACACGGTCTTTGATCCGACCTTTTGTTTTGATTATATAAAGGCTGGTGTTGAAGCTATTATTGAAGATCATATTTATAAAAATAATTACGAAAGTGATATTCGCTGTTTTCGCTCCCTTTGTCGGCGGCTGTGACGCGTACGAGGAGGCGTTTGACCATAAAGATCGGACATTTCGTCAAGTTTATCTTCCTGATCGCTATAATCCCATGAATCTTCCCCAGTGCTCCAATTGAACATTTCTAAAATTATGAATTATAATTTTTTTAATATAAATAAAAATTATGTACCGTTTTTTTTTTTTCTTAATTTGTTTAAAGTCGCATAAACTACTAAGGTCATGAGCGACTACGGTAGGGAGTAAACTTTTGAGATTGGAACTCGTTTTATTTCTTGGGCTGAGCAGAATAATACACTTAAATATTGAAAATATTCATTGGTGTACGCCGGACTCGAACCCAGTCCAATGCTTTGGTAAGCAAGGGCCGGATCCGATAGGCTACTGCGCGCCTTAATATGTACCGTTGTTCTTTGAAAATTTTCACGTTTTTTTTAATTTTTTTTTAGAATAGTATGCTTAAAAAAAAAAATTTTTTAATTGTAATTTATAAAAAATTTCATATTTTTTTAAAATAACTTACCTTAAGTAAAACTAAACTATCAATGTAATGACAATTGGATAATTGATAAATTTATAAAATTTTTATCTAATGCGATAGATAAATTACATATTTAGATAAGAGGATTTTTTGATAAATTCTGTTAATATTGTGAGTCATTGATAAAAAAAAATTGTTTATTTTTATTTTTATTATTAAAAATTAAATAATAATAATGTTAATAATAATAATAATAATAATAATAATAATCGTTTATTTAATGCTTTAGCGTTAGCTATTCCTGTTACAATACATATTAAAAGAATTTACAATTAAAATACATATACAAATATAATTCTGATATAATAATTTTTAAATATCAACGTTTCTTTTATTTGTATATGTATTTTAATTGTAGTTTCTTTTAATATGTATTGTAACAGGAATAGCTAACGCTAAAGCATTAAATAAACGATTATTATTATTATTATTATTATTATTATTATTATTACTATTATTATTAAATTCAAAGTTTAAAATTTTTTAATTCTGCCGCCATTTTTATTCAATAATTATAATTAATTTCTACAAGTACTTTTATTTATTATTATAAAAAAAAATCATTAAAATTTCCAAAAAAATTTTTAATTAAAGAAAAAAATGAAAAAAAATTTTTTTTTCTAATAATCAATTATTAAATATTATATCAATTAATAAATTATGTAAACAAAAAAAAAATATTATGTATTATCTATCATGACGCAATAATAATCAGTTCTCCGACACTAATTATAACCATTCATATTTTCTTACCGAAAATAACAAAAAAAATATGTAATATTTTTATGATAAAATTTACTATTTATATTAGTTTAGTTACAACTAATTATCATTGTTATTATTATTTCAAATAATAACTTTGATTTGAAGGTTACTGACTTTAACAATAATGGACAATTTCTTAAGAAAAAATAAAATAAATGATACTTAATAAACAGTTTTAAAGATAAAACTTACCTTTCTAACTTCTTTAATTTTTATTAACCATGATTAATAATGATTAATAATTAAAAACAAATATTTAACAAGAGTTTTTCATGTTCGGCAAGAATAACAAATATTAACGCGTCACAAAAAATTAAATATGCTGACTTGCGCAGTGTCTTCCGAGCCTGCTGGAAGGTAATTGATAATTATCGAAAGCGGTTTTATATTTATTAAGATAAAACGACTTTTTTTTTCAGCAATTTCTAAAAGAAGAAATTTAATTAATTAATAAATAATAACAGGTGCAAAATTATCAACTTTTTGTAAATGAAAAATAAATTTTTATTTAAATAAAAATTTTATGATATAAAATCACTCAGTTTCTTTTTAATACGCTTACTGCTCCTCAAATGAGGCTTTGATCCACTAGGACGCTTCGGATTCTTCTGAGCATCTTTTTCAGCCTCTGGATTTTCGACAACTTTATTTTTATCATTATCAGTTGAATTATTCATATTATTCTCATCAGAAATTTTGACACTCGTTTCAATTTCATTATTTACCTCCAGATGATTAGTATCATCAGGACTCTCTAATTGTTCTTGATTTTTTCTAAAAAAAATGTAATTATAAATTTAAATCTCTAAAAAATATATTTGTTAATAATTATTAATTATAATTACACTGTAAAAATCGGGAGTAAATAATTAAAACACTTTAAATCTGGAATTTTTTTCTTACCCAACACTGTCATCATCTCTGACATAAACTTTTCTGAACAATCCTTCGTGTCCATGAAAAAAATTTATAAAACTTCGATAAAGCTCATCCTGACCGTAATTAGACTTTACGGGGGGCAAATGCGATCTACGAAACACCCTTGTTCTCATATGAACTAAAAAATTAATATTAATAAAATTTTCATTAACAAAAAAAAATATTTTGCTACTTTTTATTTATTCATTTAATTTAAGGACGTTAATGCGCTACGCTAGAGTCAAATAAAGACTAACTTTTTACGAAATTTTTTGGAGCCTAGAGAAAAATTTTCAATAATTTTACAATGATTTATAACTATTTTTTATTTATCCTAAATATTTTTTTGGCATTTATTGTAAAATATCAGTAAATATATGTTAGTCGTTAATTTGAGGTGAATTTTAATTGTTAATTAAATTAGGCAATATCGGTATTTTTAACGACACTAGAATTTGAATTTTGCGCGCGCAAACGCGCGCATGAGTATAGCATTTGTCTATATTTTCATGCTTATGATATATTCAACCAATCACGTTACGAATAGTTTGATGCCACATACATTTCATCTCTATTTTATTATGGGACTAGAATAGAATTTGAATTTACGCGCGCAAGCGCGCGCCTTGACTATAGAGTTTGCATATATTTTCATGCTTATGATATATTTGACCAATCACGTTACGAATAGTTTGATGCCACATACATTTCATCTCAATTTTATATTAGGACTAGAACTAGAATTTAATTTTCGCGCGCAAGCGCGCACCTCATATTTATTGTCATGATGATATATTTATGTGTCGTTTATGTATATTATATTCACTTTCAACCAATCAGAATGAGAATATTTATTTTCGACCAATTACATCACGAATAAATTGGTTTCACATACATTTCATCTCAATTTTACTA